CAACACAAAAGATGACTTGGGAACAACAAGTAATCACTTCCATTTACACTGAACATGATTTGTGTGCCTGAAATCGTAAGTTAGCACCAAGCTTCCATCCATGCTCCTCAACACAAAACTTTCCACCATCACATAAAACTCAAAATTTTCCCACTCATTACTCTTTCCGTCAAAATTCTCCACTCTTTCAAATCTCATTTGTTTCTTCTCTTTCTTTCCCTCCCAATCAGCCCTCTCTTCCTCCCATCTCATTCTCTCCATAGTAGCCATGCTCAACCCTACTTTTCTGTCTCCTCCCTCCAAACTCCTAAACCACATCACAAACTCTTCACCAAATTTTCCTTCTTCCCATACAGCTTCTCTCCCACCACCCAGATCTGCAGCTTCAGTTTTCACCATAACATTTACAGACACTTGATTACTACTTCCATCATTTTTCTCTGAGAAAACTTTGTCCCACCTTCTTTCAAGTGTCATTTCATAGAAAACTGACCTCTTCATCTGCTCCTTCACACTCACTCCTTCTTCCTTCACAAACATGAAGGGGCAGTACCATTTTCCGACAACCACCGGCTCGGAGCGATCAGATGATGACGTTGAGAAGGTGAAAGGCGGTAACTTGGCTCGCAAGCTAGGGTTGATGCCGGGAGCTTCACTCAGACGATAATGGTGGGGTGTGCTGGTGCAGAGACACCATCCTCTTCTCCTCAAGAATAGAGGAGCAAAGCCATCTGATGCATTGGACTTGGCTCGAAATCCACACCACGTTTTCAAGACCTCAAATTGTTGATATTCATCAGAAGGATTTAGGGGTCTTGGTTTGAAGTCTTTGATGTAATTACAGCAGAAACATGTGCCCATGTCTTCTTCCTTAGAACATGTGCTTGCTGCACTGCACATGGTAACCAAGTTAAAGTAAACTGAATATGAAAAATTAATTTAGACACAATAATCTAGTTCAATTATATTGCAACAAAAAGTAACGCATACATACCCTTGATGCTTCCCTTTCCTTCGTATGACGTAGTAGAGATTAGAAGACAAAGGTTGATTAAGAACAGGAATAAACATGACTCCATCTCGTAAAACTATGAAGGTAGCTCCAGTGTATAGTGTGTAAGAAATGGTTAAGTTCCTGTTCTGTGGGAATGGCAGATTGCTGATACCCTTCTTCCACAAACCAAAACAACGGTATGACTCAGCTTCTTCATCTTGGAGAACTAAGTACCCTAAATTTGGTCCCTCTGGTGGATGTGAAAGAGCTTCAGGATCCTTTTTGAACAAAGATCGAGGTCTTGTTACATACATTCTCTCTCTGTATCTCTCTCTCTCCCCACTACTTATTATCACCTTGTTTATGTATTGTGAGCTTCACCATATTTGTGTTCAGTGATTTATATTGTTGGGGTTGCGCGTTTGTTCATATTATTATAGATTTTGTGTCCATTTCCTTTATGATGGTTGGCATTAAAAAATTTAGGAAACAGCTAAGAATATAGCCCCAACATCCTTTGAGTCTTCGCATGTTGCTTTTGCAAGTGGATTTGGTCATTTCCTTTCACCCATACGGTACATATTTTTAAGTTGTTTGAATTAGATGTAGAATTAGCTAGCGGAGGTACGAGGAAGCTGTCATGAAGCTCCAACCCTTTAGGTTTTGGCAATTAAAAGTTAAGGTCCGAGTAGAACAGGTCAGCCATTTCGCATTTTAAATTTGGTGACAAACTATATATACATGTATGTATGTATGTATGTATGTATGTATGTATGTATGTATGTATGTGTATGTATGTATGTATGTATGTATGTATGTATGTATGTATATAAGGTAGAAGGTGTGCTGATTAATACAGCTACCTTGACCAGTTCTTGATATAGACATCTTGATTAATCTATAATCATGTGCGTTCAAAATACATTGAACAGTTGCTTCTTCTAGACAACCTTATCTTTTACTAAAACCTAATCTCATCCGGATAACTTAATATAAACAGTTATATGACTTTTATTTAAATTAAAGAAAATAAATTATCAAACTGAATTGATCAATGGATATTTCAAAAGCAATGTGCTTGATATATGGAAATTGGAATTTGCGCACTGAAAATGGGTATCAAGTGGCTAAATGCATGAGTTTGGAGGAATTATTGAAAAGACCCTTTGCAATTAGGAAATTTAATACTACCTCTGCTTATAAATATAAGTTCGAAGTGCAAATTACAACTGTATATTAAATCTTATATTTAATACTAGAGGTACGTAGTAATATTATATGATAATACGAGTATGAATCCTTCTGCTTAAAACGTAAAAGATTTGAAGAAGCGAATTCTCTTGATTAGGCATTTAATATCCACATCTATTAACATCATTCAATTATACTCTTCTATATAGGAATACGACCTAGGCCTGTAGTTTGGAATTTAATTGAATGCTAAGCGACATAGTATATCATATAACCTATGTTTTTTTTTTTAAGTATTAATTTTTTCGACTTGATATTTCTAATTATAAAACTTTTCGAATCAATTGAGTAAACTCATCTAACTGCTAACTTTTATTGAGCGTAATGTCCAAATTTTATAAGAATGACTAATTTAAATAATTTTTTTAACTTATGTAAGTAGTTTAATTGGACCTTGTAAAAATAACTGAAGGGACTATCTTAATGTTTTCTTTAATGGAGTAATGATTAATATAATTTTTTATCCCTCAAGTATTCTCTCATTTTAGTTTTGGCCATCCCTCAAATTTCACGCCTAAGTTTTGGTCCCCGATAATCTCTCAAAATTCCTACTTATTCAACTTGTTTTAGTACTCTTTTATATGTTTTGGAAGTTAATTGTGCAGGAAAAGGCTCGAAGCGAGTAAGAAAGAGAGACTAGAAGCAAAGGAGCTAAAAAAAAGGACCAACCGTAGCGGCACATGAAGCAAACCACCACGGCAGCTCAGATAGAAAAGAAGGGAGGCATTCGGTGTAATTTGTCACAGCGTATGAGCATACCCTCCTCGGCGCCTCCATTTGTTCCAAAGAGGTGCCATTCTGTGTAAGGCGCCGCAATGCCTTATCATATTTGCCATGGTGTCCTACCCTTTCAAGAAGCCCATTATGTGATATCCGCTGTGGCGTATGACTATATCTGCTGCGGCGCCTAACCCCTCACAGCTGTGCGTTTTATGCTGTAACTTAAAAAGGAGGGTTTATATGTGGGGAAACTCATGGTTTTTAGACACACTTTGCTTTTGGGGCTCATTTGGAGGCTTGCTCTGCTAGGGTTTGGAGGTTTTGAAGCTTGGAATCTTTGGGCTCGAAGCTACAAGAGATGGGAAGCTTTTTCCTCAATTTTTCTGAGTTTTCTTCTTCCCTTCTCCTTGTTTCTGTAATGGCCAATAACTATTCTTATAGTTGTGGCTTTTGCTAAACATGTATAGCTAAAATAGTCTTACTAGGGTTATTTTGATTTATTGTATCGATTAAGACTTGGTTTAACTCTCTCTTTAGTGTTAATGATAATGTTTTGTTGTTTTTACTTTGAGCTTAATGCTTCCTTGTGACTGGCCATCATTTGGATTGATTAGTTGATTGGTTGAAGCTTGAGAAAGTTAAATTAATTGTGAACTTTGGTAAAAAGGTGCTAGTCCGAAAATTTGTCTTATAAAATGGAAGGTTTGCTGATAGAATAGAGATACATCTATTAATCTAGCACAACCAAAAAGGGGTCTTGGTTTTCAAAGTGCAACCTTTTAAAACAAATGCAAGAGATTGCTATGTTTTATTATGATTGCAAAAATTTGGTTTTGGCTTGAGAAAGCATAAGCAATTCGACGAATCCTGGCTATCTAAACTTATTGTTAACTACTACTTGAGAAGTGATTAATCCAGTTTTATGGAGTATTTTAGTGAAAAATAACTCTAGACCCTTATTTGTCTCAAAGTCAAGTTGATTTCATATTGATTTAAATTATTATTTTCCTAATCTCATTTCACAAACTCTTTTACAACTTTTGCTTTACTTAACCTAATCAAGAACACAATTATGACTTTTAACTCATCTAGCCTTAGTCTCTAAGGGAAAGATATTTTTTATATTACTTGTGACCCATCCATTTGCAGTTTAGATATTCGGCGAACAATCCCTCAAAAGTTAAAATGGTTTAGGTTTTTATTGAATTGTAAGGATCAATGTTTTAATTGGAAAAAAAAAACTTAGAAGACAAAAACCTATAATTTGAAATTTGATAAACCAAAATCAAAATGAGGAAAAGCTTAGAATAAAAAATTATACTAACCCATGAATTAATAAACCATGATGTCACCAGGTTTTGAGGCGGTTATTATACCATATTATATCTGAATTGGTATACCATTTGTCGCTACACGCATGCATCTAATTAATATTTTAAAATCTCTTACCAAAAAAATAGTTAATATTTTTAAAATCAGACGCGTCATGATTGACAGATTAGCTGTGAAATGAACTAAATTGAATATTTTGTTCTGTATTCTGATAAACTTCAACAGCAGAAAACTTCAAAAAAATTTGTTTAAATGTGCAAAAAGTCATCACTAACTAAATTTGACAAGTCAACTTTCCATAGTTTATGAATTATTGATGTCGAACATATTAAATAAAGATGGAGAAGGAATCGATACTGATTACCGAAGTTTTGTAAAAGGGAATATTGTTAACAGAATTCCCCATTTAAGTATTTACATCTAAATGTACTTGAATATACAGTTGAATAAGAGTTGTATTTGTTAAAAATAAATTATGAATTAAATACAACAAGGGATATGATAGACCACTAAAGAGATCAAATAAATTGCACCTGTTCAATTGAAGTCCTTTTAAATTACCAAAAGATTTTTAGAGGGGAACTTTTAAGCAATTTTCTCTCTAACAACAATAATAATAAAACTTTACATAAAATATATTTGTAGTTTTTTTAATGATATTTAAGAAATGGACTTGAGTTTGGTCGAATCAATTCCGCTAATAATGATGTTAAATAGAAAAATAAAAAATAATACAGTATTACAAAGTTGTAACAACAAACAACATTTTATATAAACCAAATTAAAGAACACCGCAAAAGAGCATTTGGAAATAACAAATAATCACTTCCACTTACACAGAAAATGATTTGTGTGCCTAAAATCATAAGTTAGCACCAAGCTTCCATCCATTCTCCTCAACACAAAACTTTCCGCCATCACATAAAACTCAAAATTTTCCCACTCATTACTCTTTCCTTCAAAATTCTCCATTCTTTCAAACCTCACTTGCTTCTTCCCATTCTTTCCCACCCAATCAGCCCTCTCTTGTTCCCATCTCATTCTCTTCATAGTAGCCATGCTAAACCCGACTTTTCTCTCTCCTCCCTCCAAATTCCAAAACCACATCACAAACTCTTCACCAAATTTCCCTTCTTCCCAAACAGTTTCTCTCCCATCCCCCAGACCTGCGACTTCAGTTTTCACCACAACATCGACAAACACTTCATTACTGTTTGCACTGTTCTCCTTAGAGAAAACTCTGTCCCACCTTCTTTCAAGTGTCATTTCATAGAAAACTGACCTCTTCATCTGCTCCTTCACACTCACTCCTTCTTCTTTCACAAACATGAAAGGACAATACCATTTTCCGACGACCACCGGCTCAGAGCGATCACATGATGATGATGAGAAGGTGAAAGGCGGTAACTTGGCTCGCAAGCCAGGGTTGATGCCGAGAGCTTCACTCAAACGATAATGGCGGGGTGTGCTGGTGCAGAGACACCAACCTCTTCTCCTCAAGAAGAGAGGAGGGGACCCATCTGGCGCACTAGACTTGGCTCGGAATCCACAACGCGTTTTCAATATCTCAAATTGTTGATATTCATCAGAAGGATTTAGGGGTCTTGGTTTGAAGTCTTTGATGTAATTACAGCAGAAACATGTGCCCATGTCTTCTTCCTTAGAACATGTGCTTGCTTTACTGCACATGATCAAACCCTTGGAATGATGATGATGCTAACCAAGGCAAAACTAAACATGAAAAATTAACTTAAAAGCATAATAATCTGTTCAATTAGATTGCAATACAAAAAGAACGCGTACCCTTGATGCTTCCCTTTCCTTCGTATGACATAATAGAGATTGGAAGACAAAGGCTGATTAAGAACAAGAATAAACATGACTGCATCTCGTAAAACTATGGTGGCATCTCCAGCATGCACTGTGTAAGAAACAGTCAAGTTCCTGTTCTGTGGGAATGGCAGATTACTTATACCCTTCTTCCACAAACCAAAACAACGGTATGACTCAGCTTCTTTATCTTGGAGAACCAAGTACCCTAAATTTGGTCCCTCTGGTGGATGCGAAAGAGCTTCAGGATCCCTTTTCAACAGAGATCGAGGCCTTGTTACGTACATTCTCTCTCTCTCTCTCTCTACTTATTATTAGTTTAATTCGTTGACGTATTGTGAGCTTCACCATATTTGTGTTGTCCTGTGGTTTATATTGTGTGGGATTGCGTGTTTGATAGTATTATTGTAGATTTTGTGTCCATTTTCTTTATGATGTTTGTTATTAAAAAATTTACGAAACAGCTAAGAATAAGCCCCAATATCCTTTGAGTCAGTAAATATTGATTTTACATGTGGATTTGGTGCATTCACTTGCACATCCCGTACATTTTTTTAAGTAGTTTGAATTCGATATAAAACTAGCAGCAGGTACGTAATTAGAATGATAAACATAGAAAGAAGCCGCGTGGAAGCTTCAGGTCTTCAACTTTTAGGTTTCGTAATTGAAAGTCAAAGTCAGTAGAAGTTGTTGCGCATTTCCCATTTTAAAAATGGTAATAATCAAGGGATACATGATAAGGTATTGATCTAAGTATTGATGCTATTGAAAAGACCCTTTGCAGTGAGGCAATTTGATAGTAGGAAAAATCCTTTAAAAATACACTTAAATAACACAAATTGTTATTTGGGAAATTAAATTTATCAAATTCTTAATTAGATTACATGACTCAAAGAATGAATTTAAAATTTTATGCCATGTTTGTTCACAAAAAAAAAAATTTATGACATGACTCTAATACTCCTTTCATTAGAAACTAAAAGAGAAGAATTTTAAATTAGCATGTTTTATTTCACAATTAACACATTTTAATTTTAAATTAACAACTTTCCATCTCCATAACACCCTTGCACAATTCTTTGAATAAAACTTGACCACAGTACAACTCTGAAAGTTAATAAGTTCAATTATGTAGCTAATAAGTTTTAATTATAAACTAACAACTTTTTGTTTCTAAAACACAGTTGTGTTTTTGAATAAAATTTGATCACAATACACCCATTTTGCAGTTACCATATTTAAAATTTGAATTCACAACTATTTGTCTCTATAACGCTTGTGATGAGTTTTTGAATGAAGGAAAAATTAGAGAGGGACCTAGTGTGCGTGGATAATATTCATCGAAAATGATCTTAAAAACTGTAATTATTTAAAAGGACTAAATACTAAAATATACATTTAAAAATACTAATTTGTCCCTAACCAAATCCCCTATATTCTCTTGCCATATCCTACAAATATACTTTTTAAATGAAATAATCAAGACCCATTCATATTAATGCAAATTAATCCAAATTACAAAGTGAGGAACAACTCTACTTAATCAAATTACATTAATGACCAACATCAATTAATTTATTTGTCCATCACTTTTTAATTAATAAAGATTTTCGGAATAATAAGCTTACTAAAGTTATAAAATTCAACCAAATCTGCTGATATATTATAAAGCATTACAAAGATATTTGTAACAACACACAGCATTTTATATAAACCAAATTGAAGAACACCGCAAACGAGTATTTGGACAAATAATCACTTCCATTTAGACAGAAAATGATTTGTGTGCCTAAAATCGTAAGTTAGCACCAAGCTTCCATCCATTCTTCTCAGCACAAAACTTTCCACCATCACATAAAACTCAAAATTTTCCCACTCATTACTCTTTCCGTCAAAATTCTCCATTCTTTCAAACCTCACTTTCTTCTTCTCATTCTTTCCCACCCAATCAGCGCTCTCTTGTTCCCATCTCATTCTCTTCATAGTAGCCATGCTCAACCCTACTTTTCTCTCTCCTCCCTCCAAACTCCTAAACCACATCACATACTCTTCACCAAATTTTCCTTCTTCCCAAACAGCTTCTCTCCCATCACCCAGACCTGCAACTTCAGTTTTCACCACGACACCCACAAACACTTCATTACTGTTTTCACTGTTTTCCTTAGAGAAAACTTTGTCCCACCTTCTTTCAAGTGTCATTTCATAGAAAACTGACCTCTTCATCTGTTCCTTCACACTCACTCCTTCTTCCTTCACAAACATGAAAGGGCAATACCATTTTCCGGCAGCCACCGGCTCAGAGCGATCAGATGATGATGACGAGAAGGTGAGAGGTGGTAACTTTTCTCGCAAGCTAGGGTTGATGCCAAGAGCTTCACTCAAACGATAACGTTGGGGTGTGCTGGAGCAGAGATTCCAATCTCTTCTCCTCAAGAAGAGAGGAGGGAACCCATCTGGTGCACTGGACTTGGCTCGGAATCCACAACGCTTTTTCAATATCTCAAATTGTTGATATTCATCAGAGAAATTTACTGGTGCTGATTTGATGTCTCTGATAAAATTAAAGCACAGACATTTGCCCAAGTCTTCTTCCTTTGAACATATGCTTGCTTCTCTGCACATTAAATCCTTGGAGTGGTGTTACTAACCAAAACAAAACTAAATATGAAAAATTAACTTAAAAACATAATAATCTATTTCAATTAGATTGCAGGAGAACAAAGTGGCCCATACCCTCGATGTTTCCCTTTCCTTCGTATGACATAGTAGAGATTAGAAGACAAGGGCTGATTAAGAACAGGAATAAACGTGACTTCATCTCGTAAAACTATGGTGCCAGTTCCAACGACGTGTACTGTGTAAGTAACAGTTAAGTTCTTGTTCTGTGGGAATGGTAGGTTGCCGATGCCCTTCTTCCACAAACCAAAACAACAATACGACTCAGCTTCTTCATCTTGAAGGACTAAGTACCCTAAATTTGGTCCCTCTGGTGGATGCGAAAGAGCTTCAGGATCCTTTTTCAACAGAGATCGAGGTCTCGTTACATACATTCTCTCTCTCTCTCTCTCTCTCTCTACTTATTGTTAGTTTAATTTGTTTATGTATTATATGTGAGCTTCACTCTATTTGTGTTGTTCTGTGATTTATATTGTTGGGATTGCGTGTTTGATCGTATTATTATTGATTTTGTGTCCATTTCCTTTGTGATGTTTGGTATTAAAAAGTATTTAGGAAACAGCTAAGAATACAGCCCTTTGAGTCAGCAAATATTGATTTTACATATCGATTTGGTGCATTCACTTGCACATCCTGTACATTTTTTTAAGTTGTTTGAATTCGATATAAAACTGGCAGAAGGTACGTAATTAGAATGATAAACATAGAAAGAAGCCGCGTGGAAGCTTCAAGTCTTCAACTCTTTAGGTTTTGTAATTTAAAGTCAAAGTCAGAGTAGAACTTGCTAGGCATTTGGCATTTTAAATTTGGTAACAATCAAGAGATATATAATAAGGTAGAAGGTATCTTTTAATTAAAATCAATATCAGAACATCAATCATCTTTCTCATAAGCTACCTTCACATGTTTCAGACACATTTGGATTAGCGTCGAGTAAAACAAAGCATATATAACATTGATTTACAAACATAATTATTTATTATTTAAAGATAGTATCGTGTTTAGATAAATTTTTAGGAAAGTATAATATAATTCAAAAGAAGTGATAATAACTTATGGGATAATTATGATTTTTGGTTCATAATTGATTTTGGCATGTATATAGTTTGCTTGACCAGATTTCTTGACCTGGATATATTGATCAATCTGTAATCATATACGTAAGCGTGTGCTTTTTATAAGAAGGTAGTGTGTTTCTGAAAACATTAAAAAATTGCTTCTTCCTAAACACAACCTTATCTTTTACTAAAACCTAATCTCTTCCGGATAATTTAATATAAACAGTTATATAATATTTTTCCAAGTAAAATAAATAATCAAACTGAACTAATCGACGAATATTTCAAAAGCAATATATACTTGACACAGATAGCAATATGTTTTTGTTTAACATATGGAATTTATTCTATAATATTACTCTTTATTATATCAATTTTATTAATATTTCTTATGTAATATATCGATTTCATAATTAAGACGGACATTTATGGGATTTTAATTTTAGATTTCATTTTAAATTTCAAATTGATTTTGTTAATTTAATAATATAGAAAAATAATGAATAATTTTTACATATATATAATTTAAAAATAATGATTTTTCATTCCATTATTATTTTTAGAGGCACATTAAATGATGACCGTTGTTTTTCATTCATGCATACCCCCTAAATATATGCTCCTTTGGAAGCCGCGTGGAAGCTTCAAGTCTTCAACGCTTTAGGTTTTGTAATTTAAAATCAAAGTCAGAGTAGAACTTGCTAGGCATTTCGCATTTCAAATTTGGTAATAATCAAGAGATATATAATAAGGTAGAAAGTATCTTTTAATTAAAATCAATATGAGACCATCAATCATCTTTCTCATAAGTTACCTTCACATGTTTCAGACACATTTGGATTAGCGTCGAGTAAAACAAAGCATATATAACATTGATTTTCAAACATAATTATTGATTATTTAAAGATAGTATTGTGTTTAGATAAATTTTTAGGAAAGTATAATTCAAAAGAAGTGATAATAACTTATGAGATAATTATGATTTTTGGTTCATAATTGATTTTGGCATGTATATAGTTTGCTTGACCAGATTTCTTGACCTGGATATATTGATCAATCTGTAATCATATACGTAAGCGTGTGCTTTTTATAAGAAGGTAGTGTGTTTCTGAAAACATTAAATAATTGCTTCTTCCTAAACACAACCTTATCTTTTACTAAAACCTAATCTCTTCCGGATAATTTAATATAAACAGTTATATAATATTTTTCCAAGTAAAATAAATAATCAAACTGAACTAATCAACGAATATTTCAAAAGCAATATATACTTGACACAGATAGCAATATGTTTTTGTTTAACATATGGAATTTATTCTATAATATTACTCTTTATTATATCAATTTTATTAATATTTCTTATGTAATATATCGATTTCATAATTAAGACGGACGTTTATGTGATTTTAATTTTAGATTTCATTTTAAATTTCAAACTGATTTTTTTAATTTAATAATATAGAAAAATAATGAATAATTTTTACATATATATAATTTAAAAATAATGATTAAATTGATGACCGTTGTTTTTCATTCAAACATATGCTTTGTTGTTATGTTTAA